GTTAGGAGACCTCTAATTAAATTAGACCTCTAATTATCTGAATTGTGAACAGGCCTTTCAAAACCGTTTAGTTAGGAAGTTATATTTGTTGTGTTCTATTCCCTTCTTCCCTGCCATATGTAATTCTGTAAGTTTTGTTTATTTAGAATTTGTAGCAGCCATGCTCTCTTTTGAAAGGGAGAAATAGTGTTATATATGTGTATGTTTATATGCTGCCTTTATTGATTATACTATATACATAATATATTATGTTACTTCTTACCAAAGTCAGAAAGTGTTTAGGCTTGTGTAAACATGAAATGTGTTAGGCACGTCGTGCGAATAACAGAGAATAAACGCTCTAGGTAGACCGACCATGTGACCTGTCATTCTCCCTTTAAATAATGCAAGATACTTCACGAGTGAAAATGAGTAGGGACCCATTGAGGGAGAACAGAAATATATCCGATGTCCTCCCTCGAGGGAAGAAGGAATCATCAACGATAGCTCTAAATAACATCTTCCTCTCGTCAGGGTTATCAAACTACTGCCCAGAATAGGTGGCCAGAGAGCCGGTTACTTAATCCTTAGCTCACCACCAAGTGACGCGACTTCCCGTGGGCACACCTTATCACGTGCTCTGAACATGTACCTCATAGCTAGTGGATAGTTACAGGGGGTGATGGAGTACAGTATATAAAATTAAAGTACGATCCCACATTTATATAAAAACAAAGGGGCTATTACATCGCTTAGTCACACCTTCCGAGCTCTGCGAGGAATAAACTAATCGCGCAGAAAAATCCTAAACATATACCTAACCATGTTACACGCATATGTGTATAAACACTAAATTGGGGCAGCTGACACCTGCAGTTGAACAGCTACTCAAGCCTTAGTCTGAAATGCCTTATAGGAAAGTATATTATGTACAATGGCAAAATTGGAAGATTCTGACTTACAAAAAAAAAAATATTACTGCCAATATCAACATAATAGTGGAAATTGTTAACTTGGGTATAGTAAATCCCATAATACATGGCAGAAATAAATCTTGCCTATTTCGTGTTTAAGTACGCACCTTCTTTGCAATGTTCAACTTTTGCTATAAAATAATCACGCTGGATGAATGAGTGTGTGGTGCTTGAGACACTCTTCGAGGAAACATTCACCTTTGAGGAGAGCAATGGTACTGAGTTGCGAAGGGTTCTACAACGAAATAGCTTTAGATTCACAAAACAATAAAAATCACTAGCAAAATAAAATGGCAAAAATAAATCTTGCCTACTTCGTGATTAAGAACGCACCTTCTTAGCAATGTACAACTTTTGCTATAAAATAATCACGCTGGATGAATGAGTGTGTGGTGCCTGAGACACTCTTCTCCAAAACATTCACCTTTGAGGGCAACAATGGTACAGTTGTGAAGGGTTCTACCACGGTATGGCTGAAAATTTACAGTCTGTGATAATATCATTGTAGAACTGTCATATTTGCAGTTTGAAAAAAATGTGTCAATAACATTACCATTAATAACATTACAGTTAACCCTCACTTTACGCGGTCCCGCATTCCGCGTTTCCACGTTTACGCGGTGCCTTGCCAGAACCTAACGTGCTCACATTACGCGGTATGTGAACCCCATTACGAGGAGTGTGTCCGGCGCGACGCTATTTTTAGATTCGACCCACCCGCCACCCGCCCGCCTGTGCTCCTCGCCTCTCCCTCCTCCTCCCTCCGCTTGGGCAAGCCGCGTGGTAAGGTTGCGCAGTGTGTGTCTTTGTTGCGTTATCACTGACGTCATATGACGTATTGGACTGTGATTGGCCATGCATCCCTACCCCCCTCTGCTGCTAGCTGTAATTGGCTTAAAGTATTATGACGTGTCCACCCGGGGAAGGGAGGGAGGGAGGAAAGACGACTCTTGACCTAGCCGCGGCAGTTTCATCCCTCAAGGCCACACCGTGTAAACGTGCATCCATTGTTCCGTAAAATGGCTTCCGCCGGACCACCACCACCCCCAGAGAGAAACCTTTCCTTACCTGGACCCAGCGGCACTAAGCCAAAGAAGACACGACGTTCCTTAAGCTACGAGGTGAAGTATACCATCATCCAAGAGTTGGAGAAAGGAACAAGGCAGGTTGATTTGGCGTGCCAGCATGGTGTGAATGAATCTACGATTCGAACAATAGAGAAGGATGCAGCCAAGATAAAGGAGCACATGAAGATCACAAAGTCTACAGGTGCTTCTATGATCAAGTATTTTCACAACCAGGTGCTTCTCAAGACAGAAAAATTACTTGTAAGGTACTTGGTGCGTCAGGCGCGACGGAACATGGCGGTCGACACGCGCTCTGTTAAGGACTACGCACGTGAACTGTACATGGCAGTGGCACAAAAGATGGGAATTACAGAGCCCAAACCCTTTAATGCTTCCTCTGGGTGGTTACAGAGGTTTAAGATCCGGAACAAGATCACCAATATAAACATTGGTGGTGAAGAAGCGAGTGCTGACCGTGCTGCGGCTAGGGAATTTCCTCCGTTTTTACGTGAGATTATGGAGGAAGGACAGTACAGTGACGACCAGGTGTTTAACATGGACGAATCTGGTCTTTTCTGGAAAAAGCTACCTTCCAAGTCCTTCGTTGTAAAGAATGCCAGCAGGATTCGGGGCCGGAAGATGCAGAAGGAACGCATCACCGTCCTGTTTACCACCAATGCCTCCGGTACCTGTAAGCTCAAGTTATCGGTGATCCACACAGCACGCAAGCCACATGCCTACAAAACCATGGACATGACCAAGCTAAATGTCCACTGGCTGACCGCACGTAAGGCGTGGATGTTCTCTACACTGTCCCTCTCCTGGTTTGATGACTGTTTTGTTCCCGATGTAAAGAAATTCTGTGAGCGACAGAATGTGCCATTCAATATTTCGTTGCTGCTGGACAACGCACCAGGACACTCGCCCCTACTGATAGATTGTCACCCCAACGTAAAAGTGGTCTTCCTTCCTCCCAACACTACGTCTATATTACAGCCCATGGACCAAGAGTTAATCTGTAATGTAAAAGCTGCATTCTCAACAAAAAAATTCAAACTCCTGAACGACTACACCATCACCAGGGAAGAGTTGCGTAACCTGAGTGACACCACCACCGATAGCAAGAGCGAAGAAGATGAGGATCAACAGTTGGCACAGCAAAAAATACTGTTCAAACAATTCTGGAGAGTATTTAACATCAAGAAAGCTGTGGACTTCTTGGTGGAGTCATGGGATCAGCTGTCTATTGCTACAATTCGTCACGCATGGAGACATGTGTTGCATGGAATACCAGGTGAGAGGAGGAGTCAATCTGTGACTGGTGAGGTTCAGAATGTTGCAGTAGCAGTGGACCTTGCCAGAGAAGCTGCGCAGACTGTTACAGTTCCAGGCTTCTCCGAGACCACCAACGACGACATCCTGGAGGTGATCAGAGATCCTGAAGTGACTGCCGACGAGATGTTGGAAGAAGATCACGTCAGTGAAGAGGAGGAAGAAGGTGCGTCATTCTCCGAAGAACACAGTTTAACTCATAGTGATATTAAGGGTGCCATGGAGTGTGCAGAGAAAATGAAGTCCTTCCTTTCCCGCGACAATGACGATGACCGCTATGAAGTCTTCCATACCCGGCTGGTGCAGGCTATGGAGCCGTACATCACGGTGTATCACGACAACATAAACACCAGCCGTCAAAAAAGCATAACCGAGTTCTTCGCCCGCAACCCACCACAGCCAGCCCAAGCCAGTGATAGTGACAGTGAAGATGACTTTGAGGGATTTGTCAGGGAAGCCCTGACAACTGTAAGTGACAGTGATGATGCTTCACCTAGTAATGGTGATTCACCTGAGGGCCAGTAATCTGCCCTCTGCCTCGGAACCAGCCTCCATCCCCGTATGCCGACCCATCTCTAAGTTTTAGTTTTTCTAACCTAACCTTTATTTTTCCTATGTTAACCTTTATTTTTCCTAACCTAACCTCTTCTATATTACTTGTTTTTTCATACCATCATAAAGTTAAGATAAAATTTTTACTACAACATAGTTGCGTGTCGTCAAAAAGTGGAGTTTGGGGGTCGGCCCGGACTCCATTTCAATTAATCCCATATGTTATGTTATTCACTTTACGCGGGACCCTCCGGGTTACATTAACCGCGTAAAGTGAGGGTTAACTATATTAACCTGACATATTTGCATTTTGAACATTATTATAAAACTATCATATTTGTAGTTTAAAAAGATGTGTCTATGACATCATTAAAATTAATATAAAACTATCATATTTGTACTGTATAACAAGCAGAAATGGATAATAGCAACACAATTGAATTTAATTGATTTTATGTAGTTTTCAGTCTTCGTCTGTGAGATGTTAACGACGCATCACGCATGCTCTATTGACTGACGTCACCCAGTCATGACCAATGATGTATCAATATCATCACGAGAATTTTTTTCGACCAATCACATTTAATTTTTTCGAAGGAAGCAGTCTGGGTAATTTCATTGACCAGTCTAACAATGGCCGTGGTGAAGGTTGGTTGTCATTTGCGCTCCTACAATTATTTTAAGTTTATTGCCGAGTTTTACGAGGCGATTATTCTATCCAATTCTTACGTATCCTTGGTCCTTCCACTTCTAACTAAGGTATTGTACTTTCGGACATGGCGCGTCCCAAAAGTTTTAACTAATGAAAAATTTAGGTTAGTTTAAGCTTGGCCTACCGGGGTTCTGGGGGCAAAGCTGTCGGCTAGGGGTTAGGTTTGGTTAGGATAGATGACTCAGGCTCTCTCCTATTATTGTTGGGGAAATTTCCGCCAAATTGAAGGTCAGATTCGTTTAAAACACCCGAAAATACACTGGAGAAACATATTGGTCAATCCCTAGGGACTCATGTCCTTAAGTAAAATTTACCAAAAGCTGTAAACATGTCAATGGACCAACATCAACTATATAAATACAGATAACAACAATAAGCTCATACCACAGATGGGGGTCTGGAGTAAGTTGTTCCTTGATGTGTCCAGCGTCTGGGCTGGATGGGGGACTAAATAGACCAGGCCTGAAGCTTTATCAGTTACAAGACAGAACATATCCTGAGCTTGGGTCTGTTCAGTGGTAGAGATCTGTGACACATCCTGAGCTTGGGTCTGTTCAATGGTAGAGATCTGTGACACATCCTGAGCTTGGGTCTGTTCAATGGTAGAGATCTGTGACACATCCTGGGCTTTGGTCTCTTCAATGGTAGAGATCTGTGACACATCCTGAGCTTGGGTCTCTTCAATGGTAGAGATCTGTGACACATCCTGGGCTTGGGTCTCTTCAATGGTAGAGATCTGTGACACATCCTGGGCTTGGGTCTGTCCAATGGTAGAGATCTGTGACACATCCTGGGCTTTGGTCTGTCCAATGGTAGAGATCTGTGACACATCCTGGACTTGATACGGGTAAGAGTAACCTGGGATAGTAGCACCTTCACTGTCATTGGAATTACTTGAACTATATTGTTCATTATACAACTCAAGTGTATATGACATGTTTCCCTCCATTACCAGAACAGTCCACCACGACCACTTGCGAGTATAAATTCGATTCTTGATTTAGAACTTCTTAGGCTTATTATTTAGGCTTGCAGTTGTCATTTACACTAGCTTTGAAAGTTTGTTCAGCATTAACATGTGTATCACCGTAAGCTTCTTGTTTTTTTTTAACTTATTACTGGCACAACTTGATATATCGGTAAAAGGGCGAATCTCTACGACTTGAGGCTGATGAGTCATATTTTTCGAGGAACTGAATCAGAGGAACACGTAAGAAGGGCGGTCAGTCCGTAATGGTTTTGTTTACGTACGAGAATATATTATATTACTTTACCATTCATATTGTTGTATCTACATGTATATCGTATTGTACACCCCAATAACAGTAACACCTACTGTATTTATTTCGTGTTCTTTGTATAATTTGTAATTATATACTGATTTTTTTTGTAATTATTGTTTAAATTTCAGGAGATAACTCATATCACTGTAAGAATTGTGAACTCTTAGAACAATCCGCGGTGTGTTGTGACGGCACCAGGGAAACTATATACGAAGAAGCCTCTCTTAAGGCTACTTAATGTATGTCCCTGTATTGCGCGCCTGACCACTAGATGGCAATGATTAAATGGCAGAAACGGTCAATTCATCGTATAACACTGTTGGTCTTTATTTCGATATTAAAAATAGGTTTTTCATATGTATTTTGATGAGTTTCGAACGAATTTGATATTCATTTCCACTGGAAATCACGTGTTTTTTACATACCCTCCCCACCCAACAATCATAACGGGAAAAGTTGGATTTTTTAGAAAAAATAACAAATTATAATACCAACCAACCAAGAAACCTAACCTAACCTAACAATTTACCACCTCACTATTAAAATTTTCATAGATCTTCCTTTTTCACACCTCAGTGACCCTGAGTTTTTACTGTTCCTTAATCAATATCAATGTTCCCACAATGATGATGCTAGTGTCATTCCTTTAGATGTGCTAGATCGTATGTGTTACACCCCCTTTACCCATGGTGTCGACACAATACTCCCTCATATCGATCCTGATGCCTTTCTACAAAACTCACCGAGTTACACCAACCCCAACTGTAACTATTACTTTCCTGACTCTCCCGAGTTTAGTTCTAGTCTTCTACTACCTCATTCCTTCTCCTTGATTAGCCATAACATCAGCAGTATTCCCCTTCATCTAGATACCTTTATCGATCCGTGTTTATCTTCTATTGCCCACAAATTTGATGTACTTGGGTTCTGTGAGACCAAACTTACTAACGACATTGAACATTTGTATAACATTCCTAATTATAATAGACACTGCGTCAACACATGACGACACAGTGGTGGTGTTGTAGCGTACTGTAGGTGGCCAGTTGTCAAATTCTCTTTGTATGGGCTCACATACATACGTACGTGTAAATATCTTACGCTCAGGATTGAGGTAGGATAGAAACTCACAATGCGTTTTCTGTATATATTTTACGTACAGTGCAGAGCTAGTGAGTTGCCGTGTGGTGAGAAACTTGCTCAGAGGTCCTGTTGGGTGAGGAGCTTGCTGAGGGTCTGGTTGGTGAGGAGCTTGTTTGGAGGTCTTGCCGGTTCAGCAACGTGAAGTCGAATGGACTTCAATGGCGAGACTGAGAGCTTATGTACTGGGCCACCGGAAGTAAGACCAGATGTAAGCGTCGCAGGTGAACCCCCCGTCGCTATGGAATCGGCTAGGCTTCTCATTTGTAGGGGAGGGTATCCACTACAATACTCCCCTTCCCCTCTGAGCGCTGCAGGAAACTTGTTGTCGGCAGGGTTGTATCCCACATGTGAGACATAATGGGCAGGGGTGTGGACGACTCGGCCGCTACGGGTGACGACTCCGTCTAGTAATACAGAACCTGTGGGAGAAACAGAGGGGGAAGGAGGATTGTAGATGAGAGAAGGTTGGACAGGCGAGGAATGTGGTGTTTCTCTTGCGACAGGGGCAAGGTCCTCCGGGTCGCTGGTTGGGGTGTCTGGGTCCTCATCAGGAGCAGGGTCCACGACAGGAGCAGGGTCCATGACAGGAGCAGGGTTCACGACAGGAGTAGGGTTCACGACAGGGGCAGGGTCCACGTCAGGAGCAGGGTCCACGACAGGAGCAGGGTTCACGATAGGAGCTGGGTTCACGACAGGAGCAGGGTTCACGATAGGAGCAGGGTTCACGACAGGGGCAGGGTTCACGACAGGGGCAGGGTCCACGTCAGGAGCAGGGTCCACGACAGCAGCAGGGTCCACGAAAAGAACAGTTGGTACCTGAGGATGAAAAGAAGGTGCCCAAAATTGTTGTGGACGGGGTGTTGGTACCTGAGGATGAAAAGAAGGTGCCCAAAATTGTTGTGGACGGGGTGTTGCTGCAGGAGGAAACTGCGGGCAGACTGGTGTAGGCGTAGTTTGTTGGGGGTAGTAGCTGGGCTGGGGGTTCAACGGGTAAGGTGGCCGGCTTCACTCGATCTATGCTGACGGTGTCGTGTCTGCCATAGCAGATGATCGTCAGGAACTTCGCTGAACGTGCAACAACCTGGAAGGGTCCGTCGTAGGGGCGTTGAAGTGGGTTGCGGTGAGCATCGCGCCTGACGAAAACATACTCAGCGTTGAGTAGAGCAGGAGGGATGTGTTCAGGGCATCGGGAAGGCTGGCGTGGGGCAGTGGCTGTGGCTCTGAAAGCAGAAACTACTTGTCGTAGTGTTTGCAGTAGGTCGTGATGGGCAGCAGAAGTGAAGTGGTCGAGGTCAGGAGGGAGTGAAAAGTCTCCAGGTAGGCGAAGGGGCTCGCCTAGGGTGAGATCTGCCGAGCTGCAGTCCATGTCCTCCTTGTGTGATGCACGGATGCCGAGGAGCACTAAGGGTAGAGCATCCATCCAGCTGTAAGGGTCGTGCTGTGCCTTGATTGCGTCCTTCAGCTGCCAGTGGAACCGCTCTTCCATGCCGTTTGATTGAGGGTGGTAAGCAGTAGTACGGTGCCTAGAAGTGCCGAGGAACTGTAGGAGGCTGTGCCAGAGTTGTGACTCAAACTGGGCTCCTCGGTCAGTGATGACGGTCGTGGGGGGACCGAAACGGGAGACCCAACCGGACAGGAAGGCGCGGACGGCAGACTCTGTTGTAGCATTGGGCATGGGAATGGCTTCTGTCCACCTGGTGAAACGGTCGATGCAGGTGAAGATGTAGGTGTTATCGCAGGATGATGGAAGAGGTCCCACGATGTCGAGGTGTACTACCTGGAAACGTCCTTTGGGTATAGGAAAGGTTTCTAAGGGGACCCTCATGTGATGATGTATTTTGGAGGACTGGCAGGCCAGGCACTGGGCAGCCCATTTCCTAGTATCGGTCTTGATGCCGGGCCAGACGACACGTTGCGTGAGGAGGCGCTGGAAGCCCCGCACACCCGGGTGGCTGAGACCATGGATGCGGACGAAAACAGGGCGCTGGTGGACGTGAGGTACGAATGGTCTAGGCTGCCCACAGGACACGTTGCACCACAACTTGATGTTCGAGCCGGGAACGGGGAATTCTTGGAGTGTGAGACCTAAGGGAGATGTCTTGTATGCTGCAAGGTCTTCGTCGTTCTTTTGAGCCACGGCGAGCTGTCTGTAATCCATGGGTGGAGATGAGGGAAGAATGCTGGATATACAACGAGAGAGTGCGTCGGCGATCTCATTGTGGCTGCCCTTTATGTGTTGAATGTCGCTGGTGAACTCCGAGATGTAAGCCAAGTGGCGAAGGACACGATGTGTATGTGACTGGGAGTCTGAAGCAAAGGCGTGGACGAGGGGCTTGTGATTGGTGAATGTGGTGAACTGACGGGCCTCGAGGAAGTGCTGGAAATGCTTGACAGCAAGGTATATGGCCAGGAGTTCTCGATCGAAGGCGCTGTACTTGAGGTGTGGTGGTTGAAGCCGCTGTGAGAAGAAGGCAATGGGCATGAGAATTCCATTGATCTTCTGTTGTAAGACTGCCCCCACGGCAGTAGAAGAAGCGTCTGCTGTGAGAGTGATCCGGGCATTGGGTGCAGGGTGAACCAGGAGGGTAAGGCGTGTGATGTGCTGCTTGATAGTGGTGAATGCTGTAACAGCCTCTTGAGTCCAAATGAGAGGCTTGTGAGACGTCTTGGGGAGTCCCTTGAGAAGATCGTAGAGGGGGACAAGGACGGTAGCAGCGTGGGCAATGAAGCGGTGGTAGTAATTTACTAAACCCAGGAATTCCTGGAGTTTCTTCGCCGTTTCAGGTCTGGGGAACTCCTTAATGGCAGTTACCTTCTGTGGTAGGGGTTGGATGCCGCTCGGCGAGACTCTGTGGCCGAGGAAGTCGATAGAGGAGGCTCCGAAGACGCACTTGGCAGGGTGAATTTCATGTTGTTGTTCTGCAGGCGTTGGAGAAGGAGCTGTAGGTGGTGATGATGCTTGGCAGGCGTCGGAGATGCGACGAGAATGTCGTCTATGTAGACAGTGACAAAATCGAGGTCGCAAAGCATGTGGTCCATGTACCTCTGGAAAGTCTGGGCTGCATTGCGTAGACCAAAACTCATGAAGGCATACTCGAAGAGACCGAACGGAGTGGTGATGCCTGTCTTCTGGGTATCTGCAGGTGCTACTGGGATCTGGTGGAAGGCACGCTCCAAGTCGATCTTTTTGCCATGGAGTTTGTGGTGGAAGTCCTGGACATGCGGAATAGGGTACCTGTCAGGTTTGGTGACGAGGTTCAGGGCTCTGTAGTCACCACATACCCTCCAGTCGTTGGATGATGGCTTTGGGATCATGTGGAGAGGCGATGCCCAGGGACTCTTTGAAGGATGAATGATGCTGTCTTGCAGGAGTCTGTTGAATTCCGCCTTGGCTGTGTTCAGGAGCTCAGGGCGCAGGCGGCGAGGGCGTGAGAAGACTGGAGGTCCTGTAGTTTCGATGTGGTGGAAAATTCCTGACATAGGTAGTGGGGGTGAGACTCGTGGTGAGAACTCGTTGGACGGCGAGAGACAGGTGATAGTGTCGGTGTCTGTGGTACGTGAACCCTGGACCTTGCATGCTGTAGGCTCATGGGTGAGGTATAGATGGCTTGGGTCGACGCCGAGCTAGTGGAAGGTGAGGAAGTCGAAGCCAAGGATGGGTTGAGACACGTCTGAGACCACGAATGACCAGTGCAGAATCTTGGGAAGACCGAGGTCTAAGGCGAGGATGTGTGCGCCGTAGGAGGCGATGGGGGTACCGTTGGCAGCGAACAGGTCATAAGAGCGTTGCTTTGATGTGTCTTGTAGTGAGGGAGGGATGATGCTGACCAATGAACCTGTGTCGACGAGAAATTTCCTGCCGGAGGTGAAGTCTGTGATGTGCAGTAGTGAGACGCCTGAAGTGACGGGAGCTGTGGCGTCTACCAATCCCCATTGTTGCCGTTTCCCGAGTAGGTGCAGTGGGGCTCACAGTGTAGAGCATTGGCGCCGAAACGTCTGTGATAGCAGCAGAGGGTAGATCCGTTGTGCTGGGGGC